AGGTAAAGGTAAAGGTTCCCCTTGACAATTTTTGTCCAGTCGTGTCCGACTCTAGGGGGCGGCGCTCATCCCGCTCTTCAAGCCATAGAGCCAGCGTTTGTCCGAAGACAATCTTTCCGTGGTCACATGGCCAGTGTGATTTAGACACGGAACGCTGTTTACCTTCCCACCGAGGTGGTCCCTATTTATCTACTCGCATTTGCATGCTTTCGAACCGCTAGGTTGGCGGGAGCTGGGACAAGCGACGGGTGCTCATTCCGTTGCGTGGATTCGATCTTACGACTGCCGGATCTTCTGACCCTGCAGCACAGGCTTCTGCGGTTTAGCCCACAGCACCACCACGTCCCTTTGTGTGTGTGTGTGTGTGAAAACGCATTAAAACATGTTTAATGCATTCCTATGGGCTTAAAAACTGACCTCATGTGAAAATCCTCCATAGGGGCTGCCATTTTCGGTGCCTCGAAAGCGAGGCAAAACAGCGATCGCCATTTTTTTTCCGGCGGCCATTTTAGAACTGCCAATCAGCTGTGCGAAAACGGGGCGTTTGCGATGATCGCTTCCGCGCGATCATAGCAAATGCCCCATTTTCGCACAGCTGATCGGCGGGGCTTCGGGATGATGGGGGAAAGTGCTCCCCCCCATCATCCCAAAGCCCGCATTTTCTGCCCAGCTGATCGGCGGGGCTTCAGGATGATGGGGGAAAGCGCTCCCCCCAATCATCCCGAAGCCCGCATTTTCACCCAGCTGATCGGCGGGGCTTTGAGATGATGGGGGAAAGTGCTTCCTGCGATCATCACAAAGCAATATTTCTCCATAGGGAACATCGCAATGCGATTGCAAAAGCAATCGCAAAATCTTCATCGCTATGCGGATTCGTCAAACGGGGCGCCCGTTAAGCGAGGCACCACTGTACTTATTTACTTACAGCTTTCATTACATTCTCAAAGCTCTGTTCCTAAAGCATTATATTAGATTTTGAATCATGTTGGACACTCTTTGGATCTTCAGTAGATAGAAAACACTATGGCACACGTATATCTTGCATATATATGATCCCTGTCAGCCCGTTCCTTCTTGTGCAACATCATGGTGCGAGGATAACTCTGACGGTTCAGGTTTTTTCCAACAAACAGGACAGAAGATTTTCACCTGGCTTTCTCCCTCATCTGGCAGGATTTCCCAGAAGGATTTTGGTGCACCCCACACTTTGATTCTCCATAATCAGTGTGATAAAAGCACAGTCTACATGGGATTAATTGCCCATTCATAATTAGGCCTCTGCAGGATATTTACAAAGCCTGATTCTGGAAAAATACCCATCACACTGAGCATTTTTCTTTGGCAAGCCAGAAAACTGCTACACAAAGCCAAGCAATCCATAGGGAGAGAAAGCTTGAAATGTGTTGATGCAACCGTATCGGAATAATCAATTTTCTGACACAATGAATCTGATGTCTAAAAATGGTGTGAGGACAGTTTCTCTCTCTCTCTCTCTCTCTCTCAGGGGAGGGGGATCAGGAGAGAGGTCTCTCGTCTCGGCTCGTGTGTTCCTCTGGTGGGGCCACAGTGAGATCCAGGAAGCTGGACTAGATGCCCCCTTGGCTTGATCCAGCAATCAGGGGTATTATTGAGATCTCCCTGGGAATGCCCCTTCCCACAAATTAATGTTTACAAACACTTTTAGACACTAGAAAGCACAAAGGGACTGTTTCAGATTTTTTAAAATTGTTGAGAAGAGGTTACAGGACCACTTTTCTGAAGTAGAGGGTTAGTGGTTTATGGCCCTGGACCTCTGGAGGCTGTTCATCCACCCACCCCCACTACATAGCTAATGTGTACACACACACAAACACACCCTCATGAAGAGGCAATGTGGTGGAGCACTTAGAGGGCTGGACTGGGCCCTGACAGATTCCCACGGAGCCACAAGACTCATCCGGTGATTGTGGGCCAGTCACACTCTTACAGCCTAAGAGTGTCACCAAAGAGAATGAGTAATGGCTGGTAATGGTAATGGCTGAAGTCATGGGGGAAGGCATCGTGGTAATGGCTGAAGTCATGGGGGAAGGCACCCAGTAAAAAAAATATATATCTCAGGGTGAGGGGTACTGGAGGAAAAGACGTTTGATTCCACACCGCCAAGCCTCATGGTATTGGCTGAAGTCATGGGGGAAGGCACCCAATCAAAAAAAAATATCTCAGGGTGAGGGGCACTGGAGGAAAAGACGTTTGATTCCACACGGTCTGGTAGCTTTACTGGCGGGGGCCCCCGTCTCTTCCACAGGATCAGCTGGCACTGAGATTTATTGGCTCAGTATAAAGACACTCATACATGTGTTACCTTTAATAGTATTTATGGGACAGTGTGGGCCAAGCTCCTTCTCTGTCTCATTCTCTTTTCTTCTGTTGGTATGCAATTCCACCCCGTCCTCCTGATCTTAGGCTTTGGCCCCTCAATCTCAGGGAATAGGGACCCACGAACCTGGCTTAACAGCCAGGATGTTTCACTCAGAATGCATGGAGCAACCGCCAGCACCCCACCTCTGCTCTGGACAGGTGGCCCACGTAATTGATGGGCAACAGAATTGCCCATCATGGCTACCAAAAAAAAAATGCCGCTGGCCTATTTCCCGCACGTTTATCTTCTAGTAAAAAGCTTCGCTGTCAAAACGGGCATTTGGGATTGGGCACCCAAGTGATATTGTGTTGAAGCTCCAAAGACTTTGGAACTCCCTCCCACTGGAGGCTACGCTGGCCACATCTTTGTTGTCCTTCTTCAAGCAGGTGAAGACCTTTCTCTTCAGGTAAGCTTTCCCTCAATTACTGACTGCTTTGACTGTGTTTTTAGTACTGTTTGTGCTTCCCATTTCTCAGAGTAGTACAGTGGTGTCCCGCATAGAGATGATAATCTGTTCCAAAAAAAATCATCACTATCCAGATTCATCGCTATGCGGGGGGAAAAACCCATAGGAACACATTAAAACACATTTAATGTGTTCCTATCGGGGAAAAACTCACCGCTATGCAGGAATCCTCCATCCGGCCGCCATTTTCGCTGCCCGGTAAGCGAGGAAAGTGCGCGAAAATGGAGCATGCGGCCATTTTGGAACCGCCAATCAGCTGTTTTTAGAACATCGTGATGCGAAGATTGGTAAGCGAAACGCTTACCGATCACAATGCGATGTTTTGCCATTCAAAACATTGCAATGCGATCGCATTAGTGATCTCAAAAAGCACGTCGCTATGCAGATTCGTCATTAAACGGTGCGCTCATTAAGCGAGGCAGCAATTTATTTATTTGTTCCTTTTTAATATTTCTATACTTGGGTTTTTAGCTTTAAATACTGCCTTTTAATGAGGTATGCCTCCTTTGTATACTCATTGTTTTGTTCTTAAATATTGTCTTTTAATGATGTAAGCCACCTTGGGTCCTTTTCTAAAAGGCGGACTAAAAATATTGCAACTAAATAAAATTAAGGAAACAACAACAGCCCCATTTATTCCTTAAACCAAGTTCTCTTGCCCACCTCCTTCTCATAAGAGGTAGGCAATTTTTTTTTAAAAAAAGAGCTTGCTTCTCTGACAAAAGCCTGCTACGGAGCTTCCTTTCCATGTTTGTTCTCTTGGATCAAAGAGATTTTTGAGCCGCTCAAATATTTATCTGGTTTCTAGTCCCAGGTAGAATTTGCACGTCTTGGCAAAGGCTTGATGTCGTAAGTGCTACCATTTCTACTGTCTGAATGAACATCCAGTTCTGCTCCTCACATGGACTACATTTCCCCATTCTTTCCACCCACCTTGAAAGCGAAAAGATCCATCAGTCATATGGCATGGATCATACCGGCTCTGCCTTGCCAGAACTGAGGCTCTTGGAAAATCCCGGCATCTATAGCTGAGCTGTGCTTGATTTGGCAGCTCTCATGTCATGGATGAAGAACATGTAGCCTTCTAGATGCTACTCAATACTACAATTCCCATGATTCTTACCCATCTGTCAAATGGGCTAGGACTGGGAAGCTACACTCCTTCTCTTCTTGGGATGGTTGGAAAGGAAGTTCCGAGTTCAGCAGTATCTTATTTTGGATCAAAAATGTTTAAAACAAAACAAAACAAAGCTTTCTAGTTCCTTAGAACAGTGGTTCTCAGCCTTGGGCCCCCTGACGTTCTTGGAGTGCTTTTCCCAAAAATCCCAGTCAGTGGTGAAGGCTTCTGGGAGTTTGAGTCGAGACCAGTAGTTCCCAACTTTGGATAACTCAGGTGTTCTTGGACTGCAATTCCCAGGAGCCTTCACCACCAGCTGTGCTGGCCAGGGATTCTGGGAGTTACAGTCCAAGAACACCGGGGTGACCCAAGGTTGGGAACCACTGCTCTAGAATATTTCCTCTGGCATATAGGAGACAGAAATGGGGGGGACTGAGGAAGAATGAAGAAGTCCCAAAATCCTGCCAGAGATAATGTTGTTCTTTCACTATGTGGCTTGTCTTACAGGAGGGAGATTGTCGTTTCAGTAAAAAACAAAAGCAGCCGTTGACGGCCCCTCCCCGCTCAATGTCTGTTTCCACTTGGAAGAGGCACTAACGTTTGGTTACATTCAGGCAACCCCATAAAGCTATCCCTACACCTAGAATTTTGTTTTACTCACAGATCACGCAGTTACTTTGGTTCCAATCTCTCCACCCCCCGTTTTCCTTTAAAAATAAAAAAAAAATCTGGGTTTAAAAGACTCAAGAGTAGACCCTTCTCTAGAGGGGATGTACTATTCTATGCAATTTATGTTTCACAAAGAGAAAGTATCCTCTTGAAACATGTTGAGCGTAAATACACCCAGCCTTTTCGTCGCACCACAGAGGTAGCTTCGTTCTGTTCTTTTGGTTCTGGAGGCCTCTTTCCTCCAGGCTTGTCCAAGCCCCTTCTTTCACGGCTGTCGAATGGGCTAGACCTCAAAAGAGTTCCTGCCACTCGACTGTCACACAGTGTGGTTGGTTTCCTGCAACTGATGGCTGCCCAATGAACTTTCCGTCATACTCTGAGGACATCCTGCTCCTCTCCAGACTTCTCTTTCTTGAACGAGGCTCTGTCTGCAGTAAGAATCTTCTAAACTAGTCCTCATCACCACTGGGGCTTCTCTCTTGTGGGTATCCCGTTAAGATGCTTAAAGGCTGAGCGGCCAGGGGGGCTTCTCCCCCCTTGGGAGCAATCAAACGATTTCTCCCGCCCTGGGTGGATCTTTTCATACACAGCAAAGTGCAGTTTCCCAAGACGACGTAACCCACCGCTGGCGCACTTATACGGCTTCCTTTCTGGCAGGCTTCTCTCTCGTGCTGGACCAGGGAGGCCCGCCGGCGGTAGCTCTTCCCACAGTCCTTGCAATTGTACGGCCGCTCTCCGGTGTGCATTCTTTTGTGCTGGCCGAGGTTGGAGCTGGTGCTGAAGCTCTTCCCACAGTCCATGCACTTGTGGGGCCTCTCGCCCGTGTGGACTGTTACGTGGCGGCGGAGCTGAGACGGACACGGCCACCGTTTCCCACAGTACGAGCATTCGTATGATGGTGTCTTGGCAGGAGCTGCGAGGGTTGGCCCAAAGTTTTCCTCCCACTCTGAGATGATCTTTCCTGGTATACATTCAGAGATCCTCTCTCGGCTTTCGTTTACGCTTCTATCATTTTCATCCTTGCCATCAGTGGTTTGCACTGGTGCCTTTCCTGGAAGGTTTTCCTGAGGTTGCTCCAATCTCTGTCGACTCACAGGGTTTTCATCTACGATAGGTACCTGGCAAAGAGTCCTTGTGGCTTTCTCCAAAGATTTTTCACGTTCTTTAACATTCTGGGGTCTTTTTGGATGAAAATTCTGCTCCTCGAGGGTCATCCTAGTGGCTGCAACGTATTCATGCCTCTCTGGCTGGTTTTCATTCACAGCCACATTGCCTATGGGGAGTGGACAGAGAGTAGAAACAAGAAAATCAGAGCATGAACTGGGAGCACGTCAGTCTTTTTAAATGGAAAAGATTAGGGTTTTAGAAATGATGACAGAAATACAAGATAGATGAGAAAGTCAATGTGATAAAATAGATGCAATATATGTAATTCTAAAGAACCTAGAATAAAACACTGAATTTAAGAAGCAGGATTTAGCAGGAAAGTTCTCCTATTATAGTTCTAGTTCTCTGCTGCTAGGGAAGATTTGATTTACATACGGTAGGCCATGCCTTGTGAGCAGAAACTCCAAGTTCAATCCTTGGCAGTGCTAGTTTATGCCTTGGAAAGACCTACAGAAATACTGAAGTGTGGAAAATTCTAGCTGGGCACAGTAGCCTGGCTAGAACACAGACGTGTGCCTTCCAATGGAGGGGTGGGAGATCAGTTAACCTTTTGATTGTTTAAATACTTAAACCTTGATAACCAGATGGATATTGATATTGTTCATTAGGTTATCTGATCTCACACTGAAAGTAACTCTTTCAGGGATAAATATCAGCTGGGATAGGCCATAGACTCAAACTACAAAAAGGTGTTATAAAGCTTTATAGTACTCTGAGTCATTGTTTCAGTGTGGTACCTTTGACCTTAACAAGGAAATGTCCAAAAGACTGCCACCCCTGCATGCCACCACATTTAGCATTATACTCCCACGCACCAGGCACATCTATGGCCCATACTTACTGAACATGTTTGTGTCCCCATCACTCTCCAATTCAGCTTTTGTGGTGAGCTGCATTTCCTCAGCATCTGATGGATCCTCTTCTGTCTTGGGGGAATGAATGATCACTTCTTCAAAAGGCTCCAGATACTGAAGGGGAAAAGGAAGTGAACTTTATTATACAATGATCATGTAGAGAGATCAAAGATGTGATTTACCTGTGTGAGCCCATACTTAAAGGACAGATATGGGAGGTCCAGTCCTTGATAGTGGCAGTTTAGGGCCTGGAGAGATCTACAGAAGTATTGGGAATGGAAGACTAGCTAGAACACAGAAGCGTGTGCTCTACTGGAAGGCT